GTTTCGAACCAGGAGGACGGGCTGGCTGCATGGGCATTTTCGTGTTTTTCCCGATGTGTAACGTGTATACGAACTAGTTGCCCTTAGAAAGTCCTCAAGGTATCCCTCTCCTTAGACAACTAAGACAAGAACTACACCAACATTGTGCAAAATTACTTGTTTATTAGGGATTTGCGGTGCAGTCTACATAGAAGGTATAAACTACTACTGTCACGAAAGCCGGTAGTAGTTTATACCTTCTAGACTGCACCGCGAGGCCGGGAGGTCAACAAATCCGTGGCCGAGTCTATAGACAGGAGTCAACGCTGTTCCTTTAGAGTCAGCCTTACAACAAAAGAGGAGCAGGTCAGACAGGGGGCCCCTAGGACGTACAACGCCCAACGCTTACCAAATGGCGACTTATGCGAGATTTTAGTTAAAGTGTATCATAGATACACTAATCCTAGGAAAATGTGAAGTGGAACTTCACCAAAAGACCACGGTATAAAAACATGCTAACCATGCAGGTTAGCTGTCATAACCTTGGGGCTTTCGCGTCACTAAAAATGACGAGCCACCATTTGATACCCTCACAGACCGGCACTGAGTTGCCAGCCAACTAATTCACGAACTATAATATTTAGGCCCATTTAACAGTAATCAGTATCTGCACTCCCTGTGGGCTTGTAGGATTCATCAGCAGGTGTGAAACTCTGAACCCGTTCGTAAGATTCGAGACACACTCACTGATATAGTAGATATAGCTTTAGCATCGTTTAAACGACGAGCCACCAATTGAAACCTATAGCTATAGCTTCGTTAAAACGACGAGCCACCAATTGAAACCTAAAGCTGCAAGGAGGGCCTAGTCCTCTACTTCCCAACAGAACCCGTGACCCACTCAGCCACAGCACCTATCCTCACCCGAACATAATTAGCCCTAGTTGAATAGCATGTCTCAACTCGGTTACGTAGTGGCGCCACGAAGAGGCCTATGTTCGAGCTAGAGTAGCGAGAGGCTTTATATTACGCATCATCCACCCTATAGCATCGGCAACCTTTCGGATTCGGAACAGTCAGGCTCCAGGTCGCCTTCCACTTAGTGGCCGGATCCGGACCACCCATCTGAACCTCGTCTTCAAAGAGGTTTTGCTATTTGCTACCCGCTCTCCGTAGACAGATAACCCTCGAGGCTTTGCCGTAATCACATAAACTAAACCAACCAATATGAAAATAAGTTTACCTAAACTAGCTCAAGACTAGTGCTTCACATTCCAAAATTCTAAGCATATATATATGCTTAGAATTTATATATATATATATGCATATATTTATACATATATGAACATTATTATATTATTATAATAGATGATGGTGATATAATAGGTTCAATTAACCGTAATTCTAGCAAGAAATTTAAGTCGTTGACAGCATTCTTAATAACCGCGGAAATTGTATAGATGCAGAGGCCATCACAGAATGAAACTGAAGAGAAGAGCAAATAATAGCTAATAAACATTCAGAACTTGGTTTAGTATAAAAATTTAATAACCTCAGCATTTAACTGGCTGGACAAATTAGCATGCATTTTAAAACAAACGGCGTAATTTTAACACTATACAATACATAACATTGAGATTTTTATTGGTAATATTATTATACGTGAATTCAAATTGATTTTATTATAAGTAACTATTAAATTATCCAAACTTCAGTATCTCATATTTTTTTTTTTTACTTTTGAAACCAATTTGTTTATCTTTAAATAAAAATTACTGCTGTGCATTTGTTGGCAAAAAGAAACATCTCCAAATAAATTAAAGCTGTTAATTAGAAAAGATTCGAAAGCTCTAATTATCCACTCATCAGGTTTCAAGCATTATATAATAAATAAAAGGTAAATCTATGTGGTATTAATTTAATGCATGCAAAGATTTAATTACTGTACTTGTGCATTTTATAGTAAAATTTAAATAGTATAAATAAGATTATTACTGCATAAAAATCTGAACGGTTTCAGATGTTAATGGTCGCCCAAAAGTGTTTGATAATATTTTTACGCTTTCTCTGAGCTCGCAGTCTACCACTTTGCTGTTACACTCACTCCTACTAACATTTTTTTTTTTTTTTTTTTTTTTTTTGTCTTTTTAGCTTTATTATCAAGCATCATTTTCTTCACACTTTACGCCATATACATTTCAACTGCAAAAAATTCAAAAGCAACATAGCAGTATACGTTTAGAATTCCCGATGCAGTACTAAATGTTGGCATACATTTTACTGTTTTATTTCTGGCTTTTCTCATATCATCATATAAATGTTCAATTTTCTTATTAAGATGGCTTTACAAAACTTTTCTCTTTTTTTATTATTAGCGTTTCAAGTGTTTACTTTGTTTATTAAAGAGCACGTTATTGCCTTTTCACCACATAAACTTCGATTCAACAGCAAAGTAACAAAATATTTAAAAACAACATATCGTTAGAATTTCCGATAGAGAGCCTCGCGCACTGGAGATAAAAATGTTTTATTCCGTAAAATGTTGCCCTTGCTCGCTTTGAAATCGCAGGGTTTGTTATTAAAAATTTCATTAAAGTTTTACAAAATATCAAATAGACAATGAAACTAATTCGAAAATCAATATTCGTTCTTCCAGGTGCCCATCTTCGGGTAAATGGTAAACGCTTGCAAATTAAACGCTTGCAAATGGTAAACGCTTCAAAATTTGATGACTGTAGGTATAGTTGTTTTTTACACGGTTTTTTAAACATAAACATAGATACACTCATGCAGATTCTTCATTATTTTAATTTCTTTAAATATAATACAGGGCGATAATATTTGGTGGCGACAATTTGAAAAGTGATACGCCGTTTATAGTGAAACCCCACAAAATGCCGTTTTCAGACTTAAATCCCATTCGGGACTGAAGCCACTTTTGGGCTGAAAAATAGAATTGAGTTGACCAATCAAAACCGTTTTATGTAATAAAGTCATTAGCAACTGTAAAATTGCAGTAATTTTGGTTCAAACAGTCTTTAACATTCAAACAACATACTCTTTGTCCCAAGTCTGTCGTACATCTACCAGTCATTTCGATCATTTACTTTAAATTTATACTAATTTACTAATTTGCTTTATATATTTTTAATTCAATTAATTTTGATGATCTACCAGTCATTTAATTTCTTCAGTCTCTTATTTAGAGTAGGTAATTATTGACATTTAAGACTCTTCTATTTTATTGCTATAATTCATGAAAAATCTTCTTCAGAAGCATCAAGTGTTATTTTGGGGACCTTACAAAGGGATTATTTAACAATTCTTTTTCTCTATTTTGCAGATTTAAATTTAGATGGCATACTTTTTCTTCGTCATGTACATTTTAAAAAAATTATGAAAAAAAAAGGAATATTATCCATATTGAGGTCAATTAATGACTTAAACTGATGCTTTTATCCTTTAAAAAAAAAAAAAAAAAATCTGAAATGTTTCAGATTTTAAATTACGTCCAAAGGGGCGTTTTTTAACATTTTGTGTGTTACCTTTCTTTATTAAATATCATGTTCCTCGCACTTAAACCATAAGATCCAGTGCAACAGCAATATCGCAAAATAGTTTTAAAACGAGCATATCTTTAGAATTTCCGATACAGAGACTCACGCGCTGGAGATAAAAAATGTTTTTTCTGCACAACGTTGCCATTGCTCGCTTTGAAATCCTTGAGTTTGTTAATCAAAAATTCGTCAAAGTTTTAAAAAAAAATAGGAAATCGATCATAAAACAAATTTCAAATTTCAAATTTGGTCTTCCACATGCTCATATTCGTTGGAGGAGGATTACGTTATTCAAAATTCGATGACTCTATGTACCGTTTGTTTTATCACAATACGAGAAATATACATACATTTATGCAGATTTTTCATTATTTAATTTCTTCAAATATAATGCAGGACTCTAACATTTTTGTGGCAACAGTTTGAAAAGTGAACCGACATTTATGAGTCCGACGCAAAATGCCAAAACGAAACTAATAGTCCTTCGGGATTCAAATCCCTTTGGACTAAAAAAAAAAAAACACTGATTTGTTGCATCCGTAATATTCCGCCTTGGAATAGTTTAAAATCAGCGATAAATTCTTTATCTTCTTTTACATATGTTTCTAAAGCATTGCTACTAATGGTAAAAACGTGTGTAAATTTTTAATATTTGCAAGCGTTTATTCAAATATTCCTTCCTTTAAAGTATTTTACGTTCAATATAACTTTCTCAGCCGTGAAGAAAGATTTGAACTAGATTCGACAATTTATATAGGGTTTATTTCAATATATCAATAAATAAGAAATCAAACACGCTATATGTCTTAACAAACTGGGGAAATAAAACAATATCTTTTTCAGGCCAAAGTTATCTATGAATTAAATTCTCCCTTTGTTAGTGTTTCTTAGATTTTTCTTTCCTTTTTTTGATCGTCAACCCTTATCTTCTACATTTTAACCTCGAAAGAGAAAATGTCAAGATAACCATGCCTACGCTTAGAAATCCTGCGATAATAACATTTGGAATTTATAAGCTTACTATTTTTACCTCTTTCTTTATTGAAGGTATTCCAACAATGCAAGTGTGGCATATACCAGCTACGGTTGTTAGACTGTGTACCTGTACCAACAATCGCGTGTACGAGTAAAACAGGCATTGCAGTTTCGATAAAAAATTCAAAAAATATTGCTCGAAACTTATTCTGAAGTTTCTCTGTTTCCTATTAACTTGTAAAACATACATGTTAAATGTGTTTAAGGTGGTTGAATATGCATCATTTTGCGTATACGCACTCTCAATGTATTAAAATAAAAGTAATTACTTTATGCATCATGAAAAATGAATATATATATATTTCTTATTCAGCTTCAGTAACTTACATTTTCTTAGGTAGGATTTATTATTTATGGGATAGAAAATAACACGTCTGAATTTAAAATGGTGGTGTACATAAATATTAATTCTTTTTCCTTTTCTTCTAGTGCCACCAGGTGAACCAATCATTATGGATGAGCATGGCCAGAGACTTAGAGATGTCATAGGACCATATGATGAAGGTGCTTTCCTTACACTTGGCTGTGAAGTAGATGGAGGTAAATATACATATACCACTTCTCATATATGGATAACATTACCGTGACGTCTGATACAGATAAATTTGAAAAAGGAAACTAAAATGGTTTTAATTTATTTTTATCTCTTTCTTTTTTTTACCTTTATGTGAGGTAAATTTTTTCCTAGGAACTTTGGTTAATATGTAAGAAAAAATAAAATATATATATATATATATAAGTTACAACAACAGAATAAAGCAATTTATTTAAAGTGCAAATAACAGAAATTACAAACTGAGAAAAAGATCATATGTGTTTTACCTGGAGTAGGAGAGTAGTGGTAATTTGGTCTCATTCTTGAACTGATCCCTAAGAATGCAGATAATGAAAATTGCTTAATTCTTCAGCACTCCATCCTGTGTATGATTTGTGAGGCTACGTGTTTCATACAAGGCAATGTTTGTATTCAACGAGTGATTCAATTTTACTCGTAGATTTCAGCGCTATCGGCAAAAAGAAGTTTAATGGCCTATTGGCCAATTTAACTGGCATTTGACAAATAAATATTCAACAAGTGATTGAGACATGCCATATGTGTCTCCGAAATAAGGTTTAGTAATTCTGCTAAAGGAGAAGCCATACTGCCGCAACGTCAAGCAAGTATTAAAAGAAATAAAATGAGCGAGAAACAAAAAGTACCATAGTTTCATGATATCTGCATAAAATCAAATACTGCTCGAAAATCAGAATCTCAAATCAGGTATTTCATTTTGTTTTGATAAATCAAATAACTATCATAAACGCACTATTTAGATCGGTATAAAATAACATCAAATTATCAAAATGAAGTGCTGCCGTCTACTAACTCGTAACGGCTTTGCAGAGATGTATCAAGAAAATCAAAAAATGTCAGAAGTGCGGATTGGATAGTAAGAGATTAAATAATAATTTACAATAGAATGAAAGTTAATTTTATTTAAAATACAAACCACGAACCATACTTACCTTTTTATTTAACTATCGTAAATTAGTAATCAGATCAATATAAAATCATATCAAACGCTTAAAAAACAATAAATTGCTTTATTTCTTAAGCTGAAAGTCATGCCACTTTCTCTGCGGTATCACTACCGTCGCTGGTACCGTGAGTTACTGCTTATCTCTCACTACTTGGACTGTACAGTACTTGGGGAAGATTAGTATATAATTTATATCAGATCTAAACCGCTGTACGATGATATAATCTTAAAGTACTGTTTTTTCAAATTTAGTTGGGCTATAACTTTAAAATACTAGTCATTTTAATTAATCACCATTAAAAATTTTTGAAATATTTTATATTCAAATTTTTGTTCATAGTTGCAGAACAAAATTCTCCTCTCTTGTTCGGATGCTTGCGATACTTTAGAAGTTATTTTGGTGTCTACAACGCGAAAGCTGCAGTTTAATGAAATAGTCTTCTTACCTCCCAGGAAGGGGGAGCGCAGTATTAGGTAGGAAAACTAACAAAATTTGAAGCCGACGACAGAATGTTTCAGACCTATTTTTATTATGACTGCTTACCATTGTAGAACGAGATTAATTTCTTTGAGCTACCATTTAAAGTTTTTCATAATAAATATCCATTTATTTGCTTACTTTTAGCATACTTTTCTCTTAAAGTACAGAACAAAGAAAGATATTAGACTTTCTTTATAAGTGTCCTTATATAGACTCAAATATTACTTCATTAATATTTATTAAACAACCATTTGGAAACATGGTTACTTTTATTAACCTAACAGCTACTGATCTTGCTTAAAAATTTTTATTACGTATCATGCGAATGTCTGACTGTGATTAGAAGATGAACTCTAAGTGGAAGATATATAGGATATGAAGTAAAAATTTTGAATTAAATGGAACTTATTAAAAACTAGAAAATTGAAATTATGAATGCGTAAATATTATCCGAATGTTTTCTGAATGACATAACATTTAACACTTGAAATTACAAGTAGGGAAATAGCGAAGGACAGCTATTCTGAAATATCTATCTGGACGGCAATTACGCAAGATGGATTATGTTGTAATTCTTTATAAAGTGTGGTTCTAGAAAGGGAAGTATGCCATTAATCTCCTTGAAACAAAGTGAGTACCTGATCCTAGCTCTTACAAAAATCTAAGTTTAACTGTACATTTTACGTAAGACAGAAGATCAGAGTTTCAAGCGATTGCAAAAAATGTTAAAAAATGAGAAAAGCGAATATTGATTTAAAAAAAAAATGCTACACAAAGGAAAAAAGAAATTAAAAAAAAATTCTAAAATAGTAAAAAAAAAAAAAAAAAAAAAAAAAAAAAAAAAAAAAAAAATGTTAAAAACTTAATTTGGGGAATTAAAAATAAGTTTACGTTTGCAACAGCAAAAAGTATGTAATGGGAAAATCATAAATGTGCTTTAGTAAGAAGTTAGAAGGAAAAGAAAAAGAGAACAGAATATAGAGTATAAAAGTTTAAAAAAAAGTAATTATTTCTAGGAAATTATAAAGTTACAATTAAAAAAAAGCGGCAATGCGAATAATAAATTTAAAACATTTAAATGAATAATTAATTAAATAAATTTAAATTTTATTGAAAATCAAAACTCCATAAAAAATGCATGTGCCCATGAAACTTCAAGATACCGGTCGAATCGATTGTTTGAAGTAAAAAGAATGTTGTTAACGAAATGCTGATTTGTTTCTATGAATCCATCTTTTGGCACACAATTATTGCACACTCTACTATGAAGCATCCAAAGCCCATCTTAAATATCGTTTCCGCGAAGCTTGTTAGTGCTACTAAATAACTTAAAGATCTATTAAAAATGATAAACATCAGTTAATGAGATACATTCCGCAAGAGAAGAAGAGGAAGAATGACCTTGTTGTTTACATTAGCCATAAGTCATGTGATCTCTGAGGTCATCTGCATTGTTTGTTACATTAGCTATGCATAAGTCACGTGATCTCTGATGTCATCGGAATGTATCTTATTAAATCAGAATGTCTACAGAAACACGTCGTTTAAAAGGTTGTTGCCACAAAAACGAAGTTTGAAAAATCGCCGTTGCCATAAAATAAAAAAATTGAAAAATACTACATTTTACAATATCCTGATATTGCCTAAGCCAAGATCCAAGATGCCGACAGTGACGCCATTTCCGGGAGTCACGTGATTCAAGATGGCTGCTCTAAAGGCTACCACCCTTTTCTGTGACATCATCTCCGCCAGTCGGTTACCTTAGGTTACTACTGACGTAGCTAGTAGGCAGAAGCTCTCAGATATAAGAATTCAGTGTATACACTCAATGCCTTTGTTTAAGGTTCGAAAAAATTCAATGAAAAGTGTTTATATATTTGCAATGTGTTCTAGCTGAGAGATTATTCCAAATTTTTAGAATGATGCAGAACTAGTGTAATTCTATCATAACTTAAAACAAAAACAAGTCTTCTAATAAAAAAATAAAATGCCTTTTAACGTGAATTAAAATTTCCTACCTTTAGAATCACATATTTGTTCGACAGTTACTAACCGAAAATCAAGCTGTCTTTAAAATTGATGTTATTTTTCCTTACTGGAACTCATCAACAAATTAATCTTGATATAGTTTCTTCTTTCGTAAGATTGCTTTGCCTAATTTATTTATGCTGTAATTTGTATAATTTCCTGAGCATTTATCTCAGAAATGATGGGATAAATCTAAGCAAGTGGTATTTGCTCTATCATTAAAATTTCATCTCTGCTGACATATGTTCATTTTTTTTTTTTTTTTTCAAAATGTGCTCTTAACAGCACTGAAGGAAAGAGGATACTTGAAATATATTCCAAGGAATTCGCCACCTATTACTTTTATATATCGCAAGTAGAATTAGCATACTAGTTCTCTTCTAAGAAATTATTTTGCATTTTATTTGAACTGCAAAAATGTATTTAATAAGCTGAAATTTTAGCTTTAAAAGAGCTAACAAAGAGTGTGAGAAAACTGCAGTTTCTTTACTTCCTTCATTCCCTAGAAACATTACGAAAATTAAGAGAAAAGCTCAAATTCCAAAGAAAAGCTGTTTCTAACAGAATATTTTTATAACTGACAGATAATACAAAAATTCAGATTTTGCGTTGTGGTACTAAGAGGCTACAACTATGCAAATGTAAAAGTAACCTTTTAGTTACATGAAAAGTATTAAGTGAGTGGAAAAACTAAAAACATGAATTGCTAAGTAATTAGTGAAAGCCAAAAATTAGAGTAAACTTATGAAATTTGTATCTGGACGGAAATTTATATTGAATTATTTAAGATGAAAACTAAGAAAGAATTCAATTAAAGACTGGAAAATGTCTTCTTTTAACACCATGAAAATTAAGCATTACTTTGAGATTATTAAAAGAATTTACTAAACAATTGTGCTCTAATATCTCTATTGCTGGATATTAAAAATTCGAAATAAGTATGAGTAAAAATGAAATTGATTCAAGAAACTATCTTTATATTTAGAAGACTGCATGATGTTCCCAAATATCTCTTTAAATTTAATTAATAACTAAGTTTCGTACATAATAATAACAATTATATTGTGTGCATTGCTATTTACTCGTATTTAAAGTTATGACGAAGACATATGATCTGATATAAAGTAATAAGGAAAGTATTTTTATTTGTAAATGTTACTACGTTCAGCGAATCAATAAATACTTATCTAAATTTACCAAGTAAATTAGTTTAGGTAAAATATTATGTTAAAATATATTCATCTTTATATTATTAAATAAATGCATTTATCAAATGGTAATCCACACGACGAAATGTTTCAAGTAATGAATGTAAAATGACTGCATAAATGTATCTTAAAACCGTGATGCAGTAAATGATAGTCTACATATGCTAGAATGACACATAGATTCTAAAAAAAGTTTACATTACTAATAAAAGCTTAGGAAAAAGTCTTATTTTTTGTTTGGTAGGTTAAGTAAAGGATCATATACAATGATATTTTAAAGATACTATGGGATGTAGTATAAAC